ATAAGATTGATTAGATTTCATTATCAAAGATAATGAAATATGACGTGGTTCAACAGGTAAGAATAATCCTATTATAACTGGAGGAGGTCAAAATAATTAAATCATATCCCTGACAAATCTGACAATAAATCTCCTATGATTTCGCATAAGCGGAAGATAAGATCAACCATCGACATCGGCGGAACGATTTTGATTCCAATCGACAGCCATAAAAAACTATTATTAATCCTTGCCTTCTTTTTAGACCTTCGTGACTAATTTGATCGTCGGAGAGCTCTTGGTAGGCACCACACTGGTGCCGTCAAGGTTCATCGATCTTCTCCTCTTTTCCTTGCAGGAAAACGTTATCGTATCGGACTGCGCGAATTTCAGCCTCAACAGTTAGCGCCGTCTGTGGGAACGACGATTCCCTTGAATTAATTAATTACTCGTTGGGTATATACGTTTGCAGTCCGGTATGGTTATCGAAGGAACACCGTCGCAGGGATCTGGCCAAAGGGTAGAGTCGGGTGAAAACCTGGACGTCCCAAACGACCAGGCACGGCTTGCAGCGTTGGAACTGCAGGTTCAAACTTTGAGTCAGGGCATGAACCAGTTGATCTAGCAAAATGCAATGCTCTTGTAACACCTTGTTCCACCGGTTCAACAAAACTTTCCAGGACAAGATCTTTCAAGTCCAAACGGAGGTAATGGGAATCTTGAAGAGAAGAATAATCATCCCGCCCAAAATGAGACTGAAGTGGAACAAAGCCAGGTGGGAACCCGACATAGAGAGGTGGTTCACCCATCTCTCCCACGGAGTTCCGGACCTCCTGAAAGCATAGCCTTCTGTCTTAAGGAAAAAACAAAGAAAGTTACCCATTTCGACTTGCAGATCAAGGATCTCAAGGGGAAAATGGAAGATATAATGCAGGCTATGAAAGGGAAAGGTCCTGCCGCCGTAGATGACCTGGTACGAAGGACCAACCTGCCTTTTAGCCCCGCCGTTATGAAATGTCCACTACCTAGCAAGTTCAGGATGCCCTCATTCGAAAGCTTCGATGGGACCAAAGATTCCCTCGATCACCTGGAAACTTTTCAAGCTCTTATGCATTTACACGCTGTGCTAGATGAAATCATGTGCCGAGCTTTTCTCACTACACTTAAGGGATCAACGAGAGTTTGGTTCAACAAGTTGAAGCCAAGAACTATCAACACCTTCGAAGAATTGTGTAAGCAGTTTGTGAGCCACTTCATTGCAGGTTAGAGGCATAGGAGGCCGGCTACCTACCTGTTTACCATGGAGCAACAAAAGGAAAAGTCGATTCGGGAATACATCACCTGATTTAACGCAGAGATGTTGCAGGTAGAAGAGGTGGACGACAAAGTAGCTTTGACCGCTTTCATAGGAGGACTCCAAACCTCTAGATTCTTGTTCTCCTTGTCAAAAGAATCTCCCACCAGTATGATAGAGTTGCTGGTCAGAGCGCAAAAACACATCAACGCTGAAGACACCATGAGTGCGCGGAAGGAAGGAGAGGATAAGAAGAGGACAGCCCCTCTTGCCAGGGATAAAAATAATACCAAATATAAGAAATCGTTCTTCAGCCAGAGCGATAGCACATATCATGAGAAGGACTCAGATAAGTATACCGACTAGAAATTGTCTCACGGCTAGAATTAGCCTTATCAAGTCATTTACAATAAAGATTGGGGGCATTTTTGTTAATCATTTTAAATGGAGGGTAGCTTCATCACGTGTTATTTTGTTTTTAATAAGCCTTGAGATAATGATGGTCTTTAATAAAATTCCTTTTAGTTTATACGTGCAGTATCCCCGTACTATAAGGGATAGTAAATGAGTGTCATGTATTACAAGGACCCGGGTTGAATAAATCCCGTAATCCGTATCCCTGTACTATAAGGAAATAGTAAATGAGTGTCATGTATTACAAGGACCCGGGCTAAATGAATCTCGTCATCTATATCCCCGGACTATAGGGGATAAATATCCTGTATTATCAGGACCCTGGCTGAATGAATCCCGTAATTCATATCCCCGTAATATAAGAGATAATAAATAAATATCCTGTACTACAAGTACCCGGGTTGGATGAATCCCGTAATTAATATCCCCTTACAATAAGGGATAGTAAATAAAAATCTCTTATTTAAGAGGTGAGCTGAGTAAAACTCGTAAAGTTCAATTCCCTGACGAGCTGAGTAAAGCTTGTAAAATTTAATTCCTTCATTAAAGGAGTGAAAATCATACAATTTATTCCCTTATCAAGGGAGAGTACTGTTCCCTCGGGTGGCCAAAAAAAAAAAAAAGTTACTATTCATGAACAGTACCCGTGGGGGGTACTGTTCATGGGTACTGTTCCCTCGGGTGCAAAAAGAAAAATTCCCTGAGTCACTATTCACATGAATAGTACCCGCGGGCACTGTTCACAAGGTTTTTTTTTTTTTTTTTTTTTTTTTTTTTTAAAAAAAATACTATTCATGAACGGTACCCGAGGGTACTGTTAAAAAAATTCCCTGAGTACCCACGGGTACTGTTCACAGGGTTTTTTAAATAATAATTAAAAAAAAGTTACTATTCATGAACAGTCCCTGCGGGGGTACTGTTCATGAACAGTCCCCGAGGGTACTGTTCCCTCGGGTGCAAAAAAAAAAAAAATTCCCTGTGTCACTATTCACATGAATAGTACCCCGCGGATACTGTTCACAGGAGGGGTTAAAAAAAAAAAATTTATTTATTACATTCCTAAAGCTAAACGTGTAAGTTTGGGAATGCGGGGCAATTGATAGGGAAAAATATAAACCTACTATACCCTTGATAAGATTGATTAAATTTCATTATCAAAGATAATGAAATATGACGTGGTTCAACAGGTAAGAATAATCCTATTATAATTGGAGGAGGTCAAAATGATTAAATCATATCCCCGACAAATCTGGTAACAAATCTCCTATGATTTCGCACAAGCGGAAGATAAGATCAACCATCGATATCGGCGGAACGATTTTGATTCCAATCGACAGCCATAAATAGGGTACCAAGCCATTAAAGAAGGTACGACGTAAAAACTATTATTAATCCCTGCCTTCTTTTTAGACCTCCGTGACTAATTTGATCGTCGGAGAGTTCTTGGCAGGCACCACACCGGTGCCGTCAAGCTTCATCGATCTTCTCCTCTCTTCCTTGCAGGAAAACGGTATCGTATCGGATTGCGCGAATTTTAGCCTCAACAGAAAGTACGACGTAAAAACTATTATTAATCACTGCCTTCTTTTTAGACCTCCGTGATTAATTTGATCATCGGAGAGCTCTTGGCAGGCACCACACCGGTGCCGTCAAGGTTCATCAATCTTCTCCTCTTTTCCTTGCAGAAAAACAGTATCGTATCGGACTGCGCGAATTTCAGCCTCAACACCTACAAAGAATATAAGTTCTCGTGCAAATCTTAATAAATATCCAAATACATATGAGACAACTAGAGTCTTTGCACTATGTGGTGACACTAGTGAGTCCACCATAAACGTAGGATCGAACCAGCAGTGGTCGGTATTAAGCCCCTGTTCAATAATCTTAGATGAAATAATAAAAAAATTCTCAACACAAGATTGTATAGTGGGTGATGTTTGTCAATAATATTTTGCTCTTGGATATCTTTAAAGAAAACGTAACAATAAAACTAAATACGTGAAAAAATGCTTAGGACCGAAGTGCTTAGGATAGAAATGCTTGAGAATTAGTCAAATTAAAATAGAGCATGTGGATTGTAAATTTAACAAAGATTCAAATATTAATAATATAATGATAATACTTTAAATTCAAAAGGTTATTTAAAATAATCAATTGTTTATTATTATTATTTTTATTTATTTATTAAAAACATATGTATCGGTCTTATAACACACGTACCATTTAAATCAAAAGTGCGGTTCGAAAGCGAGACTTCAAAGACTTACCTTTCGAATCCCTATCAACGCCGCTATATCCGGGAGATATTTAAAACAACCGATTTAAGTATTTAGGATTGATTATACAAAATGATGGAGATATAAACAACTATATAGCTAGTAAAATTGGGGCTGATTGGATAAAATGGCGGCAATAGGAATATGTTAAAACAATAATTTTATAGGATCATTATTGAACCAAATATTGAGGCTGGGTACTAAAAAAAGGATACGAACATCACTCATGTAACATGATATAATTGGTTGATAACATAAATAACGATAGATTAAAGGTGCTGGAAAGTCTTTCTTGAGAATTCGAGCCTACTTACCATGTTGTATGTTCGTTTTTGAACTAAAAAAGAAGAGATAAAAAAGGGCTAAAAAGAAAGAAAAAGAAAAGAAAAGAAAATTTGATTGTCCAATTGAGGTTGAATAACCTATCATTTTTTATAAATTAAATAGTAAAACATAAATAATAATAATTAATATTTTTTTATTAAATATAATAAATAAATTTTCCTTCCTTCCTAAATTAAATATTTTTATTTTTATTTTAGATTGTTTCAAAATAATATCTCATTCGAAAAGTCAAAAATATTATTATTATTATTTTTAACATAACCAATTTAACATTTTGAATTTATAAAAAATAAAAATAAACTAACATATTTTGTGGACTGTGTGTGGTAATTTCGTGGACGGAGTAGTATTTATGATACCTGCCACTGTGAGACAGTGTTATCATTTATGAGCTTTTGTGCATGTGAGCACTCAGAAGATATTTTCACCTGGTGAATTGCAATCTTGACCGTGGAAAAAGCGTACGAAACACCATCAGCTAAATCAAACGGCTAGATCCTCTTCAACCATCTGGGCAACCTTAAAACAGTGGGAAACGAATCTGACACGGGGAAACATGTCATAGGTCCAATTATGAATTGACACGTGTAATGAGGAGTTTTACTAATAGAAGATCCAAACGACATGTTGGTGTGGTGGAGTGTGGGGTCCTTTGTGGGTCCCACTCTATGGCTTTCCTTTTGGTGGAAGTAGTTCGCAGCTTATATAACAGCATCCCTCTCCAAGAGAAAAGCCGGCAATTGAACGGCCATAATCTCCTCCACTTTTAGAGTGAGAAACTAAAAGAAAAGGGCTCGTCGGAGGCCAAGGCGAAGAGCTTCTCTTTCAGGTTTGTCAATATCTCATATGTCTATATATATATATATATGTATACTCTGTTTTTAGATCTGGTTAATTAGAGAGATTGAGGTGTTTTGAGTTTGTTACTGACCTCTAGCTATTCAGATTTGAGTTTTCTGGTTTAAAATTGTAAGATCGTGAAACTGATTAGAGATTATACATATTTCTTTTATGTGAATAAAATATTTTTCTGGTATCTGGGCTATGGTGACGACAATGCGGCTTATTTTGTCCATCTTTTTTTTCTTATTTTGGGCTGCACCATTCTGTCAACCCCTTTAAGCATACTCCTTTTTGTGCTGTGTGTGTTTGGTTCCTGAGGAAACAAAAGAAAAAATATATATATGAAAAGCTGAGCTCAACTCGGATAAAAAAAAAATTGCTTTCAAGATTGGTTGAGTTGAGAGTTTTCTTTTTGTATTTTAAGGTTCTTAATATTGAAATCTCATTTTCCATAGAGTATTTCTCGGTTCAGAAAGGGGTTCGTTGGTTGTTGCTTTTTTCTATCTCTTCAATTCATTGAGTTGATTCTTAAATTTTAGTTTTTAATTGAAGATTTGGATCTATAATAGTAGTTATATATTCTCATTAATATTCATGAATGCCACTGCTTCTTTTACTCGGGTATTCTGAGATTTCTCCTTTCTATTTGTGTTAGTGAAATGATTCACAAAGTTGGTAGCGTTATGAACAGAAGATCTAATTCTAATATATAATAATATTAAGGAGTAAACAATAGTCACCGACCATATGCACTCACATGCACCCAACAATTATTAAAAACAAAATTTAAGAAATATCACAAGAGAATTTGAACTCCAAGATGTGAGGTGGGTAGGTGTTCCGTTTTATATGTCAAATCCATATTATAGATCTCTATAAAGGTGTTGAAGGGCGGTCCAATTTTTGTTTATAGGATGTGACGAACAGACAAATTCATGTGGTCCTATGATGAGTCAATTTTGCCAACTAATTTTGAAGCCACCTTGTGTTTTAATTTCACATAAATAACAAAAATGCAAAATTTTGTTGATAAGAAAAAATTATGGCCTACACAAATATCATTTATTGTTTCCCACCACGCGGATGGCATGAACTAGGACTAATTTCTGAGATTCGGAATACTTTAGGAATCATTGTGTCACAATCGTGGAAAGGTGGAGAAAATGATTTTTTTTAAGGCCACTTGAAGGTTATTCGGGTAATTTCATTAAAATCATAAGGAAAATCAAAACATATTTGATTGATATTACCGATGAGTTCGCACATTGAATATAAATCATTAATATCAATAAATCACGGAGATCAATAAATCATTAAAAAAATATAAATCATGGAGATCAATATATTAAAATTATTATTTTTTGTTTTGTTTTGTTAGGTCTCTATTAAGAAATGAGTTGTAAAGCCGATCCAACAGGATATCAAGTTATCTCCATTTTTAAATTGTGATGTTTTTATGTTTTGCGTTGGTCATGCGTTGCTGTTCTGTTTCCTGGTCGTCTCTTTTGGTCATATTACGTTTTTGGAAATTTGGACTTAATACTGTGTACCGGCCGATTTGGTTGACCTTTTGACTTAGATTCTTATCATTTTGTTGGTTTTTTAAAATTTTCATTTGATATTTTGGCCAACTTGCTATGCAATGAATGTTCTCTTGAAAGTTGCCTCCCTCTCTTATAATATTCTTTATTAGTCTGAATTCTGAAACAAAAATCCTTAACATTATTATTACAATATCGGTGTAAACTTTACACACAAAAAGGTGACCACCAGAAATATCCTCCAATTTGCGCGCAATAGTTTCATTTATGGAGCGTACTAATTTGTTTGATTTAATAGTTATCAAAAGTCAAACATCACATTTGAACAGTGTGAGATAGTGGTTTACTTTATTTTTTGTACATTTATATATAAACATTGAGTACCTTTTATATATATATATATATATAATAAATAGATGGATGTGCCTCGCTGTAAGGAGTGATTCATGCTATTCATTGATGAAGAAAAGGACCCTTCATAAAACCCCACCATCCATTTTGGCGCGGCTTTTTGGTCCATATCTCCCAATATCTTTCTTTAATGAGTGGTGGCCCTTCTGTGATTCACATGGAGTTTCTCAGATCACACGGTGACATAATCCTATCCTTTTTCATATGAGGTGTAGTACTAGTGGGCTCTTATCATCTTTCCATTGCACAGAATAAATAAATATAGATAAATTAAAATAATAATAATAATAATAATATAAATGATTTTTTGGGGTACCCTTTTACGTGTTTGGTTTGACAGAATCTATGCAATTAAATTGAATTTCAACATGATTTAATTTCGGCGAGCATTGATACCACTTAGTTACTAGTCTCACTAGTTTGTTTTCCAATAACAGATGTCCTTTTGTATGTTAACAATAAATATCATCATTCTAGTGTGACTCATATTTACGTGTTAATTGAGGAGGAAGAAGAAGAAGAAGCACTCCAGGTTCAATTTATTGCATTGGCATTTAGGACTAGGCCCGGTTTGAATGCTTGACTTGTCTGAATTGGCCTGGACCAGGGCTAAGGCTAGACATTTTCTTTAGAAAAGTCTTTAATCAAAGTAGTTTAATTGTGTTGTAAATTAATTATTGTCCCCATGTCCTGTGATAAACTTCAAATTAAACGTTCAAACTACTAAAATGGTACACTCATTGCAATATCATATTTTCCACAGGTCGTTGAACAATGGGTGCAGGTGGCCGAATGTCTGTTCCCCCTGAGAGCAAGAAGCCAGAATCTGCTCACCTCCGACGAGTTCCCTACTCAAAACCACCATTCACACTCGGTGAGGTCAAGAAAGCCATCCCTCCCCATTGTTTCAAGCGATCCGTTCTTCACTCTTTCTCCTATGTCTTTTATGACCTCACTATAGCCTTCATTTTGTACTACATTGCCACCAATTATATTCACTTCCTTCCTTATCCCCTTTCCTTCCTGGCCTGGTCTGTTTACGTGATCATCCAGGGCTGTGTCCTAACCGGTGTTTGGGTCATAGCCCACGAGTGTGGCCACCATGCCTTCAGTGATTACCAGTGGCTTGATGACACTGTTGGCCTCATCCTCCACTCTGCTCTCCTCGTCCCTTACTTCTCCTGGAAATATAGTCATCGCCGCCATCATTCTAACACAGGTTCCCTTGAGCGCGACGAAGTTTTTGTCCCCAAACACAAGTCAGAAATGAAATGGTTTGCCAAGTACATTAACAACCCGCCTGGCCGTGTCTTCATGCTTGTTGTGCAGCTCACTCTAGGTTGGCCTTTGTACCTACTATTCAATGTTTCAGGCAGACATTATGATCGGTTTGCTTGTCACTTTGACCCCTATGGCCCCATATACTCTGACCGTGAGCGTCTTCAAATATACCTATCTGATGCTGGTGTTCTTGGCGTCACTTATGGCCTTTACCGGCTTGCAGTAGCAAAAGGACTTGCTTGGGTTCTATGTGTTTATGGAGGACCGTTGCTGATTGTGAATGGTTTTCTTGTGTTGATAACTTACTTGCAGCATACTCACCCCTCCTTGCCGCATTATGATTCCTCGGAGTGGGACTGGTTTAGAGGAGCTCTGGCAACCGTCGACAGAGATTATGGGATTCTAAACAAGGTGTTCCATAATATTACTGATACTCATGTGGCACACCATTTGTTCTCAACGATGCCTCATTATCATGCCATGGAGGCCACAAAGGCGATAAAGCCGATATTGGGAGATTATTACCAGTTTGATGGGACTCCAGTTTTCAAGGCCATGTGGAGAGAAGCTAAAGAGTGTATTTATGTTGAAGCAGACGAAGGTAACCAGAGCAAAGGTGTGTTCTGGTACAATAATAAGCTTTGATGTCAAATGCATTTGGAGGAGTTCTATTTTCATGTTAGAACATTAGCTTCCATTTCTTGGTAATCTTCGTTAATTGCTTTGTACTGAACCTCTAATTTTAGTTTAATTATTCCTGTTTAAGATTTTTTTTTTTTTCCTTCCATAATAATATTTCTAAATCCACTTTTTACAAAGCATTTTCCTACACTAAACCAAGTACCATGTCATTCACAACGAGACAACAACGCTGCAACCCCAAGTTGGTGTCGGTTAGATTTTATAACCTACTGGCAGCATCGCCTACTATGTGGTCTTGCCCTCTGCGATGTAAATAAATATTTATACAAATATCTGTATATATATAATTATATGCACAAATATACAATAATAGACATGTAGTATTATTTCATTCATTCATTCAAAAAGAAAAATAATACTAATAATAACTTCTCGGATAATATATCTAAATGAATTTATTCTTAATTGAAAATATATCCCAATTCCTTTTAAATTGGTTCAAAACAAATTGCTGTAGAGGAGGGCTCATATGAGATTAACAATAATTCATTTTTGTTGTATCACATTGTAGGTAATGTATACGTATAGGACTTGAATCATCACTTGATGAGAGGTATGAGAATCTGAGCATATATTCGATGAAAACATCTTTGGTTCAAATTTTCATTCACCAATTTTCATTATGAAAACAATGCTCAATTTCCTACTATTCCATAGAAGTGCAATTGTACATAGAACATGCAAATAACCACTTCATATACACATACATAGACACGTAGGCTTATTTTTATACTTGTGAACATATAAAACAAATAACCACAACTTCTAAAAATTAAAAACCAAATTCCAATTAATCCATAAACCCAAAAAACCAACCAACACCATAAATTATATATAGAATTTCAAGCAAACTTAAAGCATTCACATTCGCAGTAAATGGAAATTAAGAAGAAAAAAGAGAGGAGGTTAGCGCTTCTTACCTCATATCTGGTGGAAGTATTCAATGAAAAATTGATTGATAATTGCCAGTAAATTTTTAGCAAAAAACGATGAAATGGAGGTCTAGATCAATCCATAAATTGAAGTTATTTTCAGATTTTGAATTTGAAAATAACTACCAGCATTTTAAACCAACATATAAATTTATATATACACACGTATCAACACATATATATAGAGAGAAGAAAAGGGAGAGACCTGATCTTACCTTAAGGTTCAAAGGCTCATTGAGATGAAATGATCTAAAGATCCGATCGACATGAAAGTGTTGGTATCGAGTGAGCCATCAAGAGATATCAATTGTGTTGGTCGAGTGAGAGAGGTTTTGTATCGGGTATTTGGAATTGGAGCTTTCAATTTCAATTCCAAAACTCCAATACAATAGTGCTTTCAAGTTTTATTTATCCTTTGGCTTTGTTCATACTTCCCATAATTGGTAAATACGATTAAGTTTATATATATATATATATATATATATATTTTAAGCATAAACTCCGTTAATTAGCATTTCAAATAGTAGCCCAATAGGCCCAATATCTGGGCCTGGGGGATACTAAGTTGGCTTTGGTTCCAGGCTTGTATTGCCTATTTGTGGCCCTCTTTGAAGCATTTACAAGCGTACGTTTTTAAACATCTAATAGATTCAGTATACCAAAAAAAAAAAAAAAAATTCCCCAATGTTGAAGACTTTATAATCGTTTTCTATTTTGGTATAATTTAGTGGTCGGTGGGCAGTACCAGAAAGGTAAAACTTCCCACAGTTATAACTTTTGAACCTTTTTACTTTTTTACTGAGAGATAAAATTTTGTATTTTTTAGCTTCCCACAGTTATAACTTTTGAACCTTTTTACTTTTTTACTGAGAGATAAAATTTTGTATTTTTTTTTTTAGTACTGTATCAACCTCATAATACACGTATCATTTAAGTTTAAAGTGCGGTTCAAAAAAGAGGCATCTAAGACTTATCTCCTGAATTCTTGTTCTTTTACATAACAGAGAAAAACATGAATAGCACATGAATTACAGACGGACATTCAATGATTTTGGTTATCAGACCTCCATATGATATTTTTTACTTCACCGACTATATGTTTAGATCAAACACTAACTTTATCAAATAGCTAGCTTATTAAATTTATGTTCAAACCATTAACCATCATCAGTTTTACAAAAAAAACTTATATAATTAAAACGTGACCTAGTGATAAGGATATGTGCCCTCAGCGTTATCATTTTATTTAGATTTTTATTTAAAATTTTATATTACGAAGACTGGACTAGTACTCTTAAAAATAGATAGATATATATTCACTGTAGTAAGTTGCCTCAAAGCCTGTAAATAAAAAATAGCCTGATAGCTATATTTCTCCAACTCGTATATGTTAGAGCAGTTAAAAGACCTTGACTTGAAAAGTCAAGTCTCCTTTAGCACCATCTTTGACATATATATATTTAAGTGATTTAGGTTTTTAGCCTATAAATATATGTCGAGAGTCATGAGTTGAGAGACTGTCACTTGTAAGAGTAATCTTGTAAATAGAAAGTTGTTTAAATTATAAGGACAATTTTGTAAGACTGTGAGTAAAATTAGATAAAGAGAATTTATACAGTGTTGTAATAACTCTTCATGATCATAGTGGAATCTCTTCATTCATAGAAGTAGTCTGAATTTTGGTGAACCCCGTAAAAATTTTCTACATTGCTTTATTTGTTTCCAAAGTCATTTAGTTTTGTAAATCTTTCACTTCGGATGTGCCAAACAATATATACATATACATATGTATATATAGAGAGAGTAGGTATTGCCAATATAGTACGTACATGATTGTTCTTTTATATTCTGTTTATAAATTACAAGTGGATATAAAATAACAAGAAACTACATTTGATTTCACTTTCAGATCAACAAAATTTTTAATTTAAAAATACAGTAAATAAATAAATAAAAAAGAACCAGTATTTGGATGAACATTAATTTCTATTTCAGATTTGTTTGATTGAATCAGTTAAAACAAAAAATAAAGATAAATATTTAACTGTTTAAAACTTTCAAATGCTTAGCACAAATATTTGGTGCACACTAGCAAGAATGTATAGATTCCAGCTATATTGGCAGTCGTGCACTCAACGGCCTGGAATGGGAGCCACGTCAAGAAACAGAAGGAAGATTGGCTGTCTCCCAGCAAGGGAACGCCGGGATGCGCAGCTCGCACCACGTCTCCACGTGGCAACACTAAAGAAAGGAGAGAATCATTCAGTCGAAAAAAGTACAGATATGGGGCCGGCCCAGCCGGCCCTGGCCCGGCACGACTCTCGTGTGTGCTTCTGCTTTTCAAATACTTTACTGATGTAAGCTTCAAGATCTGTTTTGGAGGGCATGATCGCACGAATCACGATACCACCATCTCACTTTCACGTGCATATGTTACGGTTAGTAATTTTTGCACGGATCATCATTATACGTATCTCAGGCCATGATATATACACGGACTATATATACTAATTGGGTAAATTACACTCCAATGGTTTATCATAATTACATGACCTCTCCAATAATTCCGAAATCTGCCAGCTTCTTCAATTTGTGCTACAGTTAATATATACACACATATATAAATAAAAGAAAAAAAAAATGATTAATTCTGAAAAAAAAAAAAAAAAAAATTGCATGGAGGCGACAATGATATTTCCAACTAGACTAGGTAACTTTCGAGCTAGCGAGATTAGGTGACTTTCGGGGAAGGAAGGTTAAGATCGATATTGATGAACTTCCTTACGCCTCTAAAATGAGTCTCTTCACTGTTAGAGTTGGGACTGGAACGAACTGAATATGCTCTTCTCTGTTTTTCTCATGCAGAGAGTGATCTAAAATCGTCATCTTCCTCGTCATGGTTGGTCGGCTGCGACGGCATGACCTTTGCCAAATCTAAAACTTTAATTAATTTTCAGAGAGAGCCAATGGATTCCTTGATTGATCTCTTGGTTTATTAATTTGTTATGATTTTTTTTTTTTTTTTTTAACTCAACATATATTTATGATTATTCCCTGGTGAATTGAGCAAAATCTAAAATCTCAATTGTTGGTTTTGAAGATGATACAAAATCAGGAACAATATCCAAAGAAGATTCAAATATCCATGGTCAATATAAGCATGGATGGGCTTGCAACTGCAAATGCATCTGCGGGAATAACAATAATCCTTCACACTGAAGTAATCAAGCATGGTGTCGGCAAGTGGCCAAACATGACGACTGTGTGGTTTGGTTTAGGTTGGAGATAGAAAGTTCACGATTTGAGAGAAAGAGTAGGTTGTGGGTAGGTTAATTGCATGAAAGTTACTGAAAATGGAAGAGAAAAATTTGGTTTTGTATTTAAGATTTAGAAAGAGAAAGAGATTGAGGAGAGAGAAAAAGAAGGAGAGGGAGATGTGGTAAATGACGTATCTTAATATTAGCCTTCAGATTAGTTTTGGAGAGAACATGAGAGAGAGAGATATCCTAAGAAGAGGATCTGTATCCCGTAATATATATACTACTTGGGTAACTTACACAGACGTCCCCTATGGTTTGCCATAATTTTAGGGACATCCCCAATGATTTAAAAAATTATACAGACCTCACATGAAAATGACACATTACACAGACCTCCCTTCTTAGTGACAGACCGTCAAATAGACTAACGGTCCTATTTAATTTACTGAAATACCCTCAAGCTGACCTTAATATATATATATATATATATATATATATATATATATATATATATATATATATATTTGGATTTCCAAAGTCTTCTTTACTTTCTTTAACCCCTCTGTAGACCTATTTTTTGGGACAGAAACGGTTGTAGTGTCGGTTGTGCTTGATGTTGGCTTTGAGAGAGAAGTGATCGATGGTGATTCAAGCGACAGTCAGCTGTGGATATGTCGTCACAGGCTTGTGCCCTTTCACTAGCGATGCCATCGGCATCGGCGTAAACTTCCCATCGAGCTTGTACGAAAATTGCATTGTACTTTTAGGCTTTTCGGGGGGTTTCTTGACTGGGTACTCGATGACGCGTTCAGAGGCGGCGTTACCAGCGAGGAGGTCTCGCAGCAAGACAGAAACGTAGTCGATGTCTTTATCGC